ATATACAAATGTCCTTTCTTATAAGGTTTGTGTAGCAAATTAGGTATGTTTGTTTTCATTGTTTTTTTTACCAAAACAATTTTTTTTGATATTTTCTTTAAATTACATCCATTTATTTTAGCTGTTTTAATATTGATGACCATTTTAAACTTGGTACTTTTGTCGTCACACTACAGGGTTGTGTTCTAAGCCTGAATGTCAGAATTAGTTTTGATTAAATTCAGCCTTGTTATAATCAAAATTCATGCTAAGCATACTTGACTTTGCATATGATACACACCTTAATGTGGTATTTATGTGCCACCTCCAACAACAAAGGCACTATGTTGTCTAATGGCTCACCGTTGTCATCATTTGTGGAAGGAGGATACCAGGAAACAGCAATGACACCTGAGAATAACCACAAGCCATGAACACATTGTACAGCTTGATTTACAACATGCAACTCTAGCTTTTACAAATATAACTCTTTACAAAATGCAAACTCTGTTTAAGACCCCGACTGCCTTTTGGCAAAAATATAAGACTTTTAAAAGAAATAAACTGGGCACAATCTACTAAAAAATAAAAGCAATGGCATTTGATTGTTCCACAATTACTTTATTAAACTAAATTGTACGGTAACATATTGTTACGAAAATATTAATTTGTAATAATTTCAATATTTCAGCTTGATTTAGAATCAAACAAATTCATAATATCAGCATCAAATATGTGAATCTACTTAGATGACTTTTAGTAATTGTACATAATATATGCCTGATGCCAGCGTCTTAAATGACTTTGCTTGGTATATATTTTTATATATCAGACATTTTTTTCAATTTCATTAAGACACGTACAATTATGTTTAACTACAAAAAGGGTGGGTTTTAATTACTGATGAACTGACAGTTCAGTTCATTTGTGTCTTACCGATGGCTGCTGAACGCAGTTGCTGCATATGAGCGTCCATAACAGAGGGGTCCCTGGAACTGTAAGGCCCCAAAGAGGGGTAAAAGTTGGACCCAATGTCATCAGGAGGGATGTGCCTTCCTTGTGGATACCCCAGAGCCACCTTAGTATCCCAGTGTGGCAGCTGCGGGTGGTCCCAGTGGATGTATTTGCCATCAAACTTCGGATTTCCATACCATACGTAGTAGAAAGCATGGAGGTAGTASTTTGGAGGAGGAAACTTCCTCAGTGCAGCTTCCAGCTCTGCATTCCCGTTTGACTCGACAGGGTCATTCATTTTGGTTTCTTCAGATGTTTTCTTGCCGTCTCTTTTGATCTGTGGCTCATTCTTTCTGTCCAGGGTCACTTTAACGTCTCTTGGGCTGTGGAGAGACGGATCCTCAGGGGTGAGAGCCTTTAAAAGCAGGACTATGACGAGGACGAACAGCACCAAAGCAGTTGATGCAATGCAAGTTTTGAACCTAAACCTTGCCATTCTTCACTGGGAGCTCGAAGCTTTCCATAGGTCATTGTTGAAACGGGACCGTGGGGCTGATGGTGGGCACATCACAGCTCAGATTGAGACATTTTCTTCAGCCCTGGGGGTTTGGGAATACAATAAATTGCATTGTGTGTTAGAAGGAAGGAAAAAAGGCAACTCATTGATGTGAAACAGCAGAGTTTGCATGATACAATGGGGCATTATCTGTAGCATTAAATAATTTGAGACATGACTCAAGCTCCAAATCATTCAGGAGTTAACATAAAAGATCAAGTTTCTGAGTAGACAAATCATTTTCATAGTTGCATTATCCAAATGACTTTTCTAATGAAATGTAAAATATCTGGCAAAAAAAGCACTCAAATGCAACGATAAACAATCGAGTGATATTTACTAGCCAATAAAAACTAGCCAATATGTTGCACTTTAAAGCCCATATTCACCGCAAAAGGTTACTTACCTCTTCATTGTTACCTGCTCTAGGCTAACGTAGCATTCAAACTGATATTAGCTACATGAACTCTTCATGAACTTCAGTTTGTAAACAGCAGTCAAACAAGACAGGAAGCGCATATATTTTCCGCCCCCAACACATAGCAAGTCACTTGTGTTCATACAATTTTAACAATTCTAACTAATACAAACAAAAYCTGTTAAGTTCGAACGTGTCTTCAAGAATTGTTTTTAGCTAAAAAGTGATTCAGAGAACCGGATATCATGAGCTACTTAACGCTTCTGGTTCAGCAGTGCGTCGCTGATCTTAAAATGKGTCACCTGTTCGCTTTCCGTTGACTGTAACCCATCCATCTACTATATGAATCTGATGTCCCGCGCTGCGGCCTCAAAAATCAACTACGTCGGGGATTTTTTTCTTTAAATCAGTGACACATACTGCCCCCATGCTGTTGGAAGGCAAATCACATCATAATAAAGCATTAAAGTATCGTGTGTACTGTAAATTTTTATTGCTTTTCCAAGTAAGTAAACCAATTAAACGGAGATCTAAAGAGACATCTGTATTCATATAAATTAATATAAGCGATCATAATTATTTTTTCTCATTAATGAGCATATATTTAGTTTAAAATTTAAGCTGGCAAAGTTTACATGACTTTATAGAACATGTGTTTTCGGACACTTTCATGAACACGTATTTTAAGCATGTTTTTAACACAAACAATAGGCTTTAATTCTCTGACAATGGTTCCAAAACCAAAGACAAAGGAAAGAAAGATTTCCTCATGCCTGATGGCAACAGTGGGTTGTGATCAGGTTTGGCATTATACAAATTAATATAATGCATTTAAAGAGATATATATATTTTTTCCTTTCTCAGTCTGTATCACAGAAAAGCTGCTTTCAGAACTCACATGTGGATTGTTCTCATCTGGATCCTCTCCCACCTCAACCTGATGTCTCCTTTTACTGTCCTGCCACTGGCCTTCTTGTTGCATTCACAGTGGATGCAGAGTGCTTTGAACTCGGCGTCTGAAAGGTCAAGGTCCAGGAGATGGCACAAAGTTGACTGAGCACATCCTCTAAAAATAAAACCAAATCATGCCTCTCTTTTTAGTAATTTCCAATATATTGTGTGATTGCAGTATAACGTTTCCCTTATGTTTATAGTTACGGTAATTATTAAGGCACTTGTAAACAAATATGGATTGTTAATTTGAGGCTCAAAACTTTTAGTTTTCTAAAATTCATTAGTAGCTTATTTTGCTATGCTGCAGAGGTCTATAACAAAGAAGTTGTTGAGGCAGGGGGGTCACAAGCTTTTCATTTAAAAGTTTATCTTTTTTACTTTTTTAAATACTTTTCTCTCCAGTACTTTATGTACTTATTACCTTGAATCCAACATGTAGCAGCTTAATAAATGGAGGCATAAATGTAATGTATTTCAGTCAGAAATACACACGTTCAGTGAGAACACCAGTTGACCCTGCACACATTCTGCCAGGTCATGTGACGAGTCAGGAGTGAGAATGTGTTGATTCTGCACACAGAGAAGCACCAGACCCTCTCCACACTGAGCATGTCATGTTCGCTCTGTCACATTTACAGTAATTGACTGAAAGCGTGTTAGTGCAGTAGTTTGTCTGAACTGCAGCTCCTAATGAAAACAGTTAACTAATGTCAGTGGCCTATACACAACTGAGGATTAAGTCAACGTTGGTGAAAATGACTTTTTCAGATTCCTGCTTGTTAAGCTACATTTTGATCCCTGATCATCCTGATGTCATGAATGGTTCCAGATATATGCCTTGTCTTCCTAATCAGGATAACTCCTATTTTTAGGTTATTCTAATTGGGATTTTTTTTTTAATGTAATTTCATAGAAGAAACCAAGCCATTTGTTTCTATATGGATACTTCTTCATCAACAGCAGGTATTTTATTTGAATTAGTTTGGACATGGCAACACAAGGGCTTTGGCAGGTAGCATCTTCTTGTACTTATGTACTGTGTTGTTAGTGGTTAAAGTGAAAAAAGGTTTTTAGCTTTGATACGGTAGTTTTGTCAAAATGTTTTGTTTACATCTCAATTTGCAGCAAGAAGGTGAAACGGTTCAGTGCCAACACAGAAGGGCAAGGTTTTTTCAGTTTGAAGTTATTTTGAGCTATATTTGCTTTTAAAAACATATATTTAATACATTAACCAATCATTTTATAGCACAAACAAATAAAATCCACACTGTTGGTTTATTTGATGTATTATGAAGCCTTTAGGATGATGACAAAAAAAAAAAAAAACAGCAACTTTTGATTTTATTTATTTTATTGAATGTATTGACTTCCAAACAAACTTGTACAAATTGCAAAACAACTTTTAGTAACACCTTGTTTTCTTGTTTTCCTCAAGAAAACAAATTAAGCAAATAATGTCAACTGAAAGCAAAAATACAAGAAAAAAGTAGGAGGGGAATAGAAAAGGGAAGTGTTTTCTATAAAATATCTTACCGTAAGTGCAGTAGAGACTGAAGCGAACACTAACCAGATTTACTGCAACCGTGGGTGCACATAATAATTAAAACTCCATCCTGATCTTTAAGAAAAAAGAAAAAAGCGTAGTGAAAGCTGTTTTTCCACTGCAGTGCTGTGTCTGTACACTAGGTGGCGATATAATCACAGCAAAATTAAAACCGGGTCATCCACTTGCTCCCACCTCAGCTGGTTTTCAAACACTGTACCTAAACAGATTAGGTGATGAGAGGAGAAAAAAGCTGCAATTTCTAAAAAAGTACCAAAAGCATATTGCAATAAATTATTCAACTATTAACTATTTAAGAGGCTTTTATTGTTTTGTTTAAAGGTTAGATCCTTCAAAAATGGCAGGAGAGCAATGTAATCAAAACCCACAGTCCTTATTTTAAAATGGTTCAAACGGGAAATGATCTGAGTGAGAAGGAATAAAGAGAGGAGAGAAAAGGTCAATATCAGCTTTGTGTGTGAAGCAGCGTGTTTGAGTGTGGGAGCTGAGGCGAGGCGAGGCGAGGCGCAGGGAGTAACAGAATGGAGAGATCGATGCCCAGAGCGTGTTGTGTTGTAGATCAGGTCTGATTTAGCCTCTAAAACTCACATAATCTATTCATGTTTTCCTACAAATAGGGAGGTTTCATTCTAATCAGTGAATACTTGTGCACAAAAATCACAAAGTGTACCGCACATGCTGTAAGTAGCTGAAAGTGAGATTTCTTTATTTTTTCATCTGTGAATTTAGCTCTGCACGAAACCACGTTCCCCAAACAAAACGCACACGAAAGATGCTTTGTTTCTTTTGAGAAGTAAAAAAAGGTTAATTTTTATGTTGTTTTATTAAAGAAACAATGGTTTTCTGTAACTTGGTCACATTGCCCCCACACGTTATAGAAGGCATTTCTTTTCACAACACACAATCTCAGAAAACCTTAACTAGCACTGAAATGAAAAACCACCACAAGCGTTTGTTAGATTATCAAAAAAAAAAAAAGAAGAGAAATCTGAACACATAAGCAAATTAAAACAGTAAAAATAAATAAGATTGACACATCAAGTTTATATACACAGACACATTAAGGAAATGTATTGTGG